GTGTGGAAATGGGCCCCGCGGCAACAAAGTTCCAGCACACACTGGCTCCTGTGGGTGTCCTCCTGTGGGTGTCCGTGCCCGTCCTGGAGCCCGAGGTGGAAGCGGCCACGGAGTGCTCCCTGCCACTGTCCCAGGCACAATGGTAAAGCCGGAGGGCAGGCGGAGAGGCCTTGGCCGCAACCTGGGCTTGGGGAAGCCCAGCAGCCCAGCCTTTCCCCGAGGACTCCCCAAGCAGCTGGTGCCAGGCCAGGAGGGGAAGCCACGGAGGCGCCCCCGCCGCCGGTCAGGCGCACTGGCTGGGGTATCTGGGGGTGGGGGTGGGGGAATCCTCGGGCCTCCCTGCCTGCAGGCGGCAGGAGGGGAGAAGAGGACACCTGGCTCGCCCTGAGCGGCCAAAAGGGCAGAGCCGCCGCCGTGTTGGACGCCTGTTCAGTGTGGTCAGCGCCCCTGTATGTCGAGCTTCTGGCAGGTTTCTGTCTTCAGTGTTCTAGATTCTACCCCTCTAAATGATTTTTACTGGTTTGTTTCTTCTGTTATGTGAATTTCTCATTTCTTGGCTTCTTTTCCCTGTGTCCCTGTGTCCTGGGATCCTCAGGAAAATAAGGAAGAATGGCTTACCTTATATTCAATATTGCTCTCAAGTTTTCAAGCCCATGAATTCCCCTGTATCTGATAATCAAGAAGACATCCAAGTATGCTGCATAAAGCTCACTACTATTGGGTTCGGAAGCTCCCACTGATTCCATAGCCTTTAGTAGCTATTTCTGTGTTCACACCCAGAATAACATTCTTCCTTCTGATATCCTTCAGATGCCCCACCTGTTATGACTGCCTGCCAAAGCCAGGAATAAGGTGCATACTTCTCGGCACATAGCCCTCCCTTGCCTACACTGATTCTCTCTACACCCTACTTTTGGAGAGCTTCTGGGTTAACTGCTGCCTTTTCCCATCTCCTTCCTGCTTGGGGCTATGTGCCCTGTTTAGTGTTTGTCTAGGTCTCAGGTAGAAAGTCTCATGGTCTAGGACCCTCTACTGCTTTCTTATTTTTTTGTTGTTTTTGTTTGTGTGTGTGTGTGTGTGTGTGTGTGTGTGTGTGTGTTTCTGTCTGTCTCCCAGATGTATGCACAAAACTATTCTTTGTCCCCCTTCATTTCACATTTCTGAAGGTTCTGAAGTGCTGCCAAATTGTCTTAAATGGGAAGAGCCTTTTGGATCTAAGCAGGCTTCTTTGCCAAGTCCCAGACAGTAGCATCTAGATCCATGAGTTCTCATAAGTCCCCAGCCTAAGGCCATGAGTTGGTGTTCTCAATTTGCTCCTTTGGCCTGAGTTAAGGCTGGGGTGTAGCTGGACCACAGCACTTTGGTCCTGCCATGTGTGAGTGCCAGAATAGAAACCTACCTTTCCTCATATCAGAGGCCTTCCACACCTAATACACAGAGAGGCTAGAAGCCTAGTGTCTTCATGTTATTGTTTAGATATTAGGTGTCCCGCAAAAGCTCCTGCATAAGACAATATAAGAAGGCTTAGAGATGAAATGTTTGGGTTATGAGAGTCTTAATCCAATCAATGAATTAAACCCCTGATAGGGCTTAACTGAGTGGTAACTATAAGCGAGGTAGGGTGTGTCTGGAAGGTTTATATCTTTTGTATCTGGTGAGTGGAGTGTATATCTATCTATCTATATATCTATATATATATCCATTTATCTATCTCTATCTGTCTTCTCTCTCTCTCTCTCTCTCTCTCTCTCTCTCTCTCTCTCTCTCTCTCTCTCTCTCTCTCTCTCTCTCTCTCTCTCTCTCTCTCTCATCATGTGAGCTACTTCCCTCCACCACACTATTCCGCCATGATGTTCTGCCTCACCTTGAGCCCCAAGGATGGAACTAGCTAATACTAATACCTCTGAAACCATGAGCCCCCAAAAAAGTTTTTCCTCTAAAATTGTTCTTATCAGGTCTTTTAGTCACAACAGAAAAAAAAAGCTGACTAAAACACTACCCAATAAGAAAAACTATATCCAATGTTGAGAGATTGGGAAATAGGGCATTATTGGACTATTTCAAATCACAAGCATACATCCAGAATAGACCTGATTCTCCAACTCCAGAGAATGATGTTTCTCTGGACTTACCAATACTAAATGGGTATCTCCAGTACCCTTTATCCTATATGAGAAGATGTGAAGAGGATCATCCCTTGAGGCCTATAACCCAGACTTTCTTTGATGTAAGAGTAAAGCTGACAGAAGTTGAACCATAATGTACCTGCCTTACTTTTCCTTGCCTTGATCTAGTATCCAGCAATTAAGACATCTATCTTCTCTGTAAGAATCTGCCCCTAACAGGGTAACAACCTGTTGCCCCTTTACTTAGCTGGGCCTGGGTCCTCCAGATGTGACATGGAGTCCTGGGTTGCTTGTGGTCCTAAACCCCACATGCAGGGTCCTCACTAGCCAACCTTGCTTCTGTACCAAGGGCAAGGATCATGGAACCAACTGCCCTTCAGTAGTTCAGCTCCCTTTGCCATACTTGGCAGCCACCATTTCTGTCAACATTGCCACACTCCACAAACTCTTCCAGTCTCCACACTCCCACCTGCCTCCTCCTGAGACTGTTAGGCCTGAACATACAGGATTCCTCAGTGAGAAAGTCTAGCCCTATGGCTTCAACAGTGACAGTGGAGGATCCTGGTGGAGTGGTTAAGGCCAGTCCCCAAATTCTGAGTGCTAGAAACGTACCTTTCCTCATATCAGAGGCCTTCCACACCTAATACACAGAGAGGCTAGAAGCCGTGCTCAAAACCCTTCCATTTGATGACACTGTTGCTTCAAAAATGCCAACAACCTTTGCCCTGAGGCCCCTCTCTCCATCCTTTGTGGACAAAAATTTGAATGCAGGCCAAAAAGCCATCTAGGCACTAAATTTGGGAATACTAAGGTGAGATACTTACAAAATGGTGTCCTTTTCAGGCTTTCCATAGGGAATGTTAATATCTAAGGGAAAACACCAAAATAAATAGATGGACCTGGAAAACCATTGCTATATCATCTCCTTATGTCAGTCCAAATGTCTTGTTCGTAGCATCCCGGTTTTCTCGGCTCACCTATTGATATTATATGGATCAGGTGACTGTGCATAAAGTCCTAATGCTTTCATGGGGAAAATAGACTTAATGCTTCAAGGTGGGATAAGTCCCTGGATTTTCCCTTTTATTGCTGTGCTGTTGTTTTTCTTCTGTCCTCGTCTAACCAATTCCTAACCAGTGGCCTCATCCTGCTTAAGGACTGAAGAGCAGCAGCACTTAAAAGGAGTAGAGAGAAGCAAGACCCTAATTGGAGGCAAATCAAGTGAGAAGACAGAGATTGATGTCCTGGCTCACCTCTAAGGGATCTCAGCAGTTCGCTATCCATTAATTGCCCCATGTTCAGGGTTCTTGGGTCAAGAGGAGGGCTCAGTGGCCTCAGAGAAGCAGGTAACCTTAGCAAAGGCCTTTGCTTTTGCATCTCTATTTAGAACAGTGGTTGTATTCTCTACTCAAACACTCACTCATCCTCTCACAGGTGAATGCACACATATGTGTATATACACACACTTACTTACCTTCTTATGTATGTCGTATTTCCCTGTTCGTCCCTATTCATCCAGCCCTTTTCCTTCCCATCTTCCTAACCCATCTCTCCAAGATCTACCATAATTCTGGCATGTCTGCCAAGGGTAGGAACAAGATTCATACTCCTGAGCACACAGCCCTTCCTTATGGACCCCTGATTTCTATTTCTGGAGAACATCTGGTATAGATATGTGCTTTGTCAGCTCCTACCTAACTGAGGATGTGTTCCCTGGTTGGTGCTTTCCCAAGGCAAGTCTAAAGGCCCAGCCCTATATTCCTTTTCTCCTTTTCTCTCAGACAGGCTGAAAAGTGCTCTCTCTCCCCTCTTCATTTCATACTCTTGTCTTTTCAGAATGTCGCCAAGTGATCTTAATGTATAGAGCCTTCTGAGCCAGACCAACCTTATTTGACAAGCCCCAGGGCAGAGTTTAGATCTATAGGTCCCAGCCCAAAGTTGTGAGTATGGTGGTCTCTATGTACATTCCTTTTTTTAAATATCTTTATTTATTTATTTTATATGGTGCTGAGGATTGAACCCAGTACCTCACACGTGGGAGGCAAGTGCTCTACCGCTGAGCTACAGCCCCAGCCCCTCTATGTGCATTCTTTGATCTAGAGCTGCACTGTGGGATAGCCATACTCAAAGATCATAAACTCTGCCCCTTGCCCCCACCCCGAGTATGTGAACCAGGTGTCTTCCCTAAGGAGAAGAACTGGGTCACACACTCAGTAGCCATAACCACATGCACAAAACAGACTTGGGTCCCCAAATTCCGGAAAATGATGTGCCTTTGGAATTATGTGTCCCTAGTTGGTATTGTTGCCACCCCTGCCATATTTGAAAAGATGTGTGGAATGATTAAGATGTGTAACCCAGATTGTCTTTGACCTGAATTAGATTAAAGCAGAGGAAACTTGAACTGTAATACACCTGCTCTACTCTTGTTTTTTTAAGTCTTGTACTCTATAATTATAACAATAGTTTCCATCTTTTCTATAAGAGGATGCCCCTGATGAGGTGGACATTCTTGCTTCCCCTTTACTTGGCTAGACCTGCTTCTATTAGATGCAAAATTGAGTCCCAGGTTTCCCAAGATACTGAGACTCCAGAGCACAGCCCTGCTGACTGACTTCTATTCTATACCAAGGACAAGGATCAAGGAGCCAAATGCCCTGTAGTAGCCTTGTTTCTCATTGCCAAACATGGCAGCCACCTAGACCTGTCACCCCACCTCCTCCAGAGCCTGGCAAGCCCAACTGCTGAGAATTCTTTGGTGGGTCAGTGTGACTTCATGGCTTTCATGGTGACTCTGAAGTTACTCAGTGAGTTGGTTGGGGCCAGTCCCTGAATTCCCTGCATACATCAAACCTACGCTTTCTCATATCAGAAAACTTTTCTTCTGGAAACAAAGTTCTTGGAAACTGTGCTCATAAAGTTTCCACTTGATGGCACTATTGCTTCAAAAATGCCAACCACCCTAGCTTTCTGCTCTTCTCACTCCACCCTTTGCAGATGAAAAAAAGATAAAGGCAGGCCCAAAAGCCATCCAAGCCCTAGAATTGCCTCTTAAGTTGTTGGGGTACCAGAAGAGGTAGTGTCCTTTCCTCTCAGACTCTCTGAGGGAAGCAAAAATGTCTATGAAGAAATATCTGAAGGAATAAGTGCATCTATATATAAATCACTACATCATCTCCTTGGGGGTTTGGGGGGGGTTACTAGGGATTGAACCCAGGGACACTTGACCACTGAGCCACATCCCCAGCCCTATTTTGTATTTTATTTAGAGACAGGGTCTCACTGAGTTGCTTGGTGCCTCGAGGTTGATGAGGCTGGCTTTGAACCAGTGATCCTACTGTTTCTGGGATTACAGTCATATGCCACCATACCTAGCCTCCTTGGGGATTTAAATCCAAATATGTTAAAAGAGCCATTTTGCGGGGTACAATTGCAGTTATTTCAAGGGTTTGATAGGTCATCTTGGGTCCAATGGTTGCTTGAGGTAGGATGAAAAAAACCTGAACTTTCCCTTCATTTTTCCCTCAAAGCCTCTCTTCTGCCCATTCTAAGAAGCTCTATGTGCAACCTATTGTGTTCTCCACTTACACACCCCAGTATTTGGTCCTTCATACATGAATGCATACACAAATGTATACATACACACTTACCTTCGTGTGTGTGTGTGTGTGTGTGTGTGTGTGTGCATATTCTCATTTCTTTTCTCCTACAACCACTTTAGAGATGCCACTATGGATAGAGATTGCTCCCAATGAAAGTGATAGCCCATAACATTGTAGTGTTACTGTTCTCATGTTGTCTCTTTATCTCCCAGCCCTCCTGCATATTATGAGACCAGATATAATTTTCCATAAACAAATAAAGAGGTAAATCTACTTTTGCCCTTCTCTTTGATCCCACAAAGCTCACAAATAGAATGTTATATTTCAGTGTTTTCATAAAATAATTGTCTCCTGGCTGTTACATATCTGTGCAGCATCCTACTGATCCTTTCCATTTCCCCTCCAACAACTGCACAAGGTGCCCATGTCTTTTCCTGGGGTTGGGAACATTGTGTATTTATGGTGTCCCAATTCTCTAGACATTAAATTTCTCTTTTTCTTCTCTCTCTAATTTTTTATGTTCAGATAGGGTCTCACTAGTTTGCTGAGGCTGGCTTTGAACTTGTGATCCTCCTGCCTCAACCTGTTGAGTTGCTGGAATTACAAGTGTACACCATCACATGCAACTTTCCCTCCTCTGTTTTTTTAGAAATACAACTAGTTGTGAGATTGTGTACAAAGTGTGTGTGCAATGGTCACAGTGTCCTTGTCCAACTACAAATGAGTGGCCTGGTAGAATGAGACATAGCCAATCCTTGCATGTTCACCCTTACATAGAAAGTCAGTACAGCAGATCTCTGTGCACCCAGAATGGAGATATCTGGTTTCCTTCATCTACACTTGAGCCAGATAAATTGCTGGTCAGTCAGAGGGCTGGTTCTCCATTTTAGGGTGGTGGAGGAAACAGGCTTGTGATAATATTCTTATAGCTAGTCAACTGTAATCATATAAATACAGAGATGAGGAGTGAAGCTCTCTAAGAATATACCCAAGGAGATGGCTTTGGTTCCCAACAGAAATGAGATCATAGGACAGTGTATCATCTGGCTCTACAAAGTACTATTTTATTTGTGCTGCATCTTTTTCAAAAACAACCCCAAGTTGCATCCATACAAATTCCCAAAGTTGAATAGATTTGATTTCTTGCTATGCTTTCCTCAAAAATCACAATTGACCCCAAAACCAACATGGTAGCCTGAAAACACTTTCTAGGTTGTCTGGATGGGATGTACCATGCCACCTTTTGATCATCACTTTAGTGTTCCCAAATGAAATGAAGAACAATCTGGTGTCTTGTTGCAGGTTGAATAGCACACAGAGAGAAAGGGCCACTGTGATCCTGGATCACTGCTGGGTGCTGGTATTATGGTGAGTTATCTTTGTTCTCTTCCTTCTGCTTTAAAAAATTGTCAATTTTATCCTACAAAAACTGTAATTATTATGGTATGTCAGTGCTCCTTGGCAAGGAGACACTGCCAGGGTAGGTAGATTTCTGGCATAGGGGCAATAGTATTGTCTTCCAGAATTTTCAGCCATGTTTAATTTAAAAAGACCCTTGAGTGAGGTCCCTGTGGTGAGACCCAAAGTAGGAGACACATGGATGATTATCCAGGGAATTCGTGTCCACCTAAAGGGATTGGAATCAGTCCCTGAAACTTAAGACATGTGTTCTACAGTGTAGTGAGGAGAGGAAAAGGTTTGTGCCTGGGTCCAGTGGGGCCATGTACTACTGAAAGAACACTTGAGCTCCCTACTTGAACCTGGGAAAGAGAAGACTGGGCCCTGCATACCCAAGAAACAAAGAACAGACATCCCAGGAGGAGAGCCAGATCTTTTGGGCCTTTGCCTTTCTGACATTGACTGTAGCTCCCTTCCCACAATGCCTATGCCATCTATCATATTGTGATCTCTGTTTGATACAGCTCTCTGTACTGTGGCCCTCCACCAGATCAGTCAGGATGGGAAGCTTTCTCTTGCTAGATTTTTACGAGGATGCTTTACTGAAGATCGGAATATTCATTCACTTGTACAGCCTAAGGCCAATCTCTTCCATGGCCCTTAATCTATCTCTGATGTACCAGGGAACTTAGAGAAGAGTAGTGTTTTATTTATTTATTTATTTATTTATTTATTTATTTATTTATTTATTTATTTTTGTGGTCGGGGAAGTACTGGGGACTAAACTCAGGGACACATGGCCCTTGAGCCTCATCCACAGCCCAATTTTGTATTTATTTAGAGACAGGGTCTTATTGAGTTGCCTCGCTATTGCTGAGGCTGGCTTTGAACTTGTGATTCTCCTGTCTCAGCCTCCCAAGCCACTGGGATTACAGGGGTGCACCACCATACCTGGCCAAGAAGTGTAATGTTTTGATGTATCACTTCATTTTAAAACACTAGAGTCCTCAGAAGCACAATACATCTTACATGTTTTCTACTATAGGCCTTCTGATGGAAGATGACTGATTGAACCTGGGTCAGATGCAAGGACCCATGACTCTAGTGTGCTCCCTGGCTTCTCTTCTGACTGGTCTTAAGTGTGGGACCAATAGTATTTGAAAACCAGGAGACAGCAATGGGAGAGGAGCCATGTGCTCCCATTTTCTTGGAATGGCAGTTTCTCATCTGCTTTTACACCATTCCTGATATCTCTGGCACTCTGCCCTTCGTTTCTGACTGCCTGAGACCTCATAGTCGAGCAGGCCTTTCAGTGACTCCTGAGAATGCCCAATTCAGAAGGTTCCTTGGGAGACAGTTGGTAGCTTGGTTCTAACTTTGTACCCAACATCAAGTTATTAAACTTACTATCAACAAAAACTCACTAGGGAAAATGCTTAAGATAAAAAATAAAAAGAGACATTTTATTTTACATTTTTAACAGAAAACAGTTTGTAAATGGGGAGAGGCAGCCTTAGATAATAAAGCAAAGTGGCTAGCTTATATAGATGAAGTTCCACCTATATAATAACCAGGTACATACTCTAGTTGGCTTATGCACACAAAGGATGAAATTATGCTAAATCCTGATTGGTTTGTTTTATGTAAATAGGTAAGTAACTAAACCCATTCCTGATTGGTTAACATTTACATATTACTATAAATGCAGATATAGTTCATTGGTCAGGTCCAGAGGCTATTTATCTTTGCAAGTGGTATGGGAACATGGCCAGGCAAAGGCCACATGTTTAGCTAATGGTCCTTGTAGAAACACAAAGTACTATGTGACTCCACAGTCAACAAATGGCTACCAGGCTCCATTTTGAACATTAGGCCCAGTTAGCTACTTGGGCTCATTCTTGGAGACTCATCTTTTCTTGAAGTTGGTACTATGGTCTCACCCAACCTCCAGTGGTACAGATAAAGCTGTGCTTGGATATATTTAGGCTCATTCTTAGGGTGACTTGGTAGGGAGCCCTTTCTCCTCTATGGCAGAGGTGCAGAATGGCATCCCTTGGAGTCTGACCCAGACTTTCTTTGAAGGGAATAAGAACAAGCAGACAAAACTTGAATTATAATGCATCTGCCTTATTCTTCTTCTTTTTTTTTAGAGAGAGAGAGAGAGAATTTTTTAATATTTATTTTTTAGTTTTCAGCAGACACAACATCTTTATTTGTATGTGGTGCTAAGGATGGAACCTGGGCCGCACACATGCCAGGCGAACGCTCTACCGCTTGAGCCATATCCCCAGCCCTGCCTTATTCTTCTTTGTCTCAAACTAGTACTCAATAATCAGGAAGTCTTTATTCTCTCCATAATAGGCTACCCCTGACAGGGTGGCCACCCCTGCTTTTCTTTTCCTTGTCTGGATGTTGGACTCCAGGTTCCCTGCTGCTCTGATAACCCTAGGCCAGGGCTCATACTGGTTAACCTTGCTCCTGCTATAAGCCCAGGGATCAAAGAGTCAAATGCCCTGAAGTAGTTTTGTCCCATGGTTGTTAAACATTGCAGCCACCAAGGCCTGGCCTTTATCACTTCCTGAGCCTGATAGGCCTTGGTCACCCCGCAGTCCTTGGGGAGCAGGCCTACCTCTGTGGCTTCTATACTGACTCTGAGGTAAGTGGTGTAGAAGCAAGAGCCTGTCCCAGAATTCTCTGAATGCCCCAATCTACCTTTGCTTATATTAGAGGCTTTCCCCACTGAACACTTGAGGAGGAGGTGGAAGCAACATGCTAAAAGCTTCCACTTGATGGCAGTGTTGCTCTAGAAATGCCAGTCACCCTTGTTTCACGCCTTTCCCTCTGTTCTTTGTAGCTGAAAAACACACCAATGCAGATCCAAAAGAAAACCTAGTCTGAGAAATAGAGTTTACTCTGTTGCTAGGTAACATTGTATACTTTCTTCTCAAGCTCTCCATGGGGAATATAAATCTGTATGGTAACACTAAAAGGAATAGATTTATCTCTTATGCATTGCTACCTCAGATTGTCTTGATTTTTAAGTCTGAATATTATGTTCACTATTCCTCAATTGTCTTGGCTGGCTTGTGGGTATCCTGTGGTCCAGTGTCTTGGGTAGTATTGTTACTTTCACAGGGACATTGACTCATAGCTTAAGATGGGATGAGTCTCTGAGTTTCCCTGCTTATTCTTGAGCCATTGCTTCTCTTCTTTCCTCATGGAACCAAGCAAGGCCTAGTTAAGCATTCAAGAGCAACCCTGTGAAGGAGTAGAACATTGTAATGCAGCAGAAATGGATAAGGGACACATCAGGTAAGAAGACAGCAGGAATGAAGCCTTAGCTTAACTATAGGCATCTGAGAAGGCTACTCTCATTGATATTAACATGTTAAGAGTCCTTAGGACAGGAGGAAAACCTGGTGGCTCCATATAAGTAAGTGATATTATGGTCCAGCTAAACTTGGAGCAATTTGTGAAAATGCCCAAGTCAGAAGGGTCCCTACAGGTGGTAGGTAGGTTTGATTCCACCTCTGTGTCCAGAATCAAGGACTTTCCTGTGGTCTGAATCAACCTCCATGCTAAAGAAATGTGGTTGGATGTGTTTAGGTGCATTCTTAGGTTAACTTAATGGACATTTGTGATCCAGTGGAGGAAACCTAAGACTACCATCCAGGGAAGAGGCTTGCAGCATGGAAGGCCAGATGAGAGATCTGGTAAATGCCATTTAGTTTTTAGCCAAAATGAACACTGGTTGGCTTGCTTGCTTTATTTGTTTGTTTATTTTTAGTGGAAAATGTTACAGGAAAAAGATATAGGAGAGGACATGGAGGGCATGTTGTCATTTGTGGTGCAATATTGCCATCAAGAGGATCTTCTGTAGTAATCTCAGACTTACTTCCCTGAGGTAGCTTCCTGGGGAGCAATAGGATGGTGGCAAAAGTCAGGGTCCTGGATAGAACAGGGATCAGAACTTTATTTGATCATGACTCCTTTGAAGGGGCTCCCCTGTGAGTAGCATTAGCAGAAGACTCTGCCAAGGAGTCCAGTTATAGGGCTTTGGACATGTTGTCTCATGTTCATTCACAAGCTCCAGGGACATCTCCCTGAGTTACTGGACTCCAGCAAGGCCTCTTCTTAGCATTCCAGGTTCCAATACTCAATTGCAGCCACCACCTGGCCCATTGTCTTCAGAGAAATCTCCATTCTTGGCCACATCCCCCCAGGAGCAGGAACAGGCAATAAGCAGGAACAGCTCTTGGTTTCCATTCACTCCAGCTCTCTAGGTCTCAGGCCAAAGCTTGTACAGTGAACTCAGAATCAAGAAAGGTCAAGACCTGACTTTGATCATTACACATTACATACTTGTTGAATTATTTTACTGAATCCTATAAACACACACAAATATTATGTCTTGGGGCTGGGATTGTGGCTCAGAGGTTCAGCACTCGCCTAGCACGTGCAAGGCCCTGGGTTCCATCCTCAGCACCACCTAAAAATAAATAAATAAAATAAAGATATTATATCCAGTTACAACTAAAAAATAAATGTTAAAAAAATTAAAAAATTGTATCTTAATAAAAAATAATTAAAAAGAGACACTTCTGGATTTTCAGTTCAGTGGTAGAGCATGTGTTTAACATGTACAAGGTCTTGAGTGTGATGACCAACACCTAAATAAATAAATGAAAATATAAATATGCTATTTGGAATGATGTCACGAAGCCCCCAAATATGCCCACAACAAACTCAGTTTCCCTAATACTTTGGTGAATTATACAATGTCTCTTCCAGGGTAAACAGTACAGGGAGAGAAAGGAATCCACTGGGATACAGGTCATCTTCAGATGCTGACATTATGGGTGAGTGCTCTTTGATTTCTTCCTTTATTTTGCAAAAGGAGTCTATTTGATCATATGAAAACATCAGTGGTTCAGTTCCCCTGAAGAAGGACAGATTGATAAAGTATGTGGATTCCATTAATGGGGACAATGGAATCTAATTCTGTACATTCCAATATGTGTGCTAGAAAAGGCCCTTTAGTGAGGTCCAAATGGAGGGAATCAAATTTGGAGTCACATGGATGATAATCTAGGCAATGTGTGACTACCTAAGTTTATTGAGATCAGTCCAAAGAATGTGAGATCAGCATATTATTGTGCAGGAGAGAATGTCAAAGAATTGGGCCTGGATCCCCATGAGAATATCTACCACAGAGTGGACCTTTGCAGATTCACTGTGACAGACCAGGGAGGAGAATCATGTTGTTCCAATTGTTGCATTACTGCTGCTGAGTACAGCACCTCTCCCAACTCTGCTTGTTTCTCTTTTCCTCCTTATTGATATTTACTCCAAGCTCCCTATACTCTGACCCTTCATAAAGCCAGTGAAAATGGGAGGACAATGTTGAATATGAACAGTGAGCTTGTGCTAAAGGATACGTGCACATGCCTATCAGATGAAATCAATGTCTCCATGCCTTCTCACTATAGCTCTCTCACTCTACCTTAATTATTTTTATTTTTATTATAATTATTATGTTTATTTATTTATTTACTTATTTGATGGGAATATGTCCCGAAGTACTTTATCATTAAGCTACAGCCCCCGCCTTTTTGAAAATTTTAAATTTGGAGACAAGGTCTTAGTAACTTACCCACATCAGCCATAAATTTTCAATCTTCCTGCCTAAGCCTTCACAGTACCTGAAATCAAAGGTGTCCTCAGCACACCCAGCCTTCACTTTCTTATGATATACAAAGTAATTTGAAAGAGCTGTAATATCTTGATATCATTCCCTTTCAAGAAAAAATAACAACCAAAAAAACCCTTAAAATCACATGGACACAAGTATTTTACACTACATAAATTTTGATATAGGTTGTGGAATGATTGACTAATGGTCAAATATCAAAAAGAATAGTGCTCTTGGTGTAGAACATGACTCTGACCCACACTAGTATGAAAATGACAGAGCAAAGGGAAAAGAAAAGCATGTGAGAACACTGTTTACATGCCCAATGGGACTATAGGATGACAAAGATGCTAAAGCAAATAGAACCAACTGAATAATGGAAGATTCTAGTCACAATGTATTTGGGTGGGCAGACTCTGGCTTATGCATAAATTATGTGCCCTTCCAAGAAGCAAGAACCAGAAGGTGGAGCCAGGGAGGCTCAACCCTAATGCACTACCTGGGATTTCTGTGAGGAAAGCTTTTCCATCTATTCCCTGAGATAGGTAAAGAAAACAATGTCCAGAGACCAGGTCTTGCAGGCCTGAGACCTGGACTAAAGACAGGAAGGAGAAGGTGTGGGGTGGGGTTTTAGTTTAACAAGAAGACCTAAGATGACAGAGCCTACTGTATGTTGGAGTCAATGTTGGTATCCCCTTGGACACCAGTTAGCATTTTGTACTCAGCGAAGGGTGGAGGGAGTGCAGTTGGCATTCGTGGAGCAACACTGCCATCAAGAGGAATTCATTTGCCTTCCCGCCAGTATGGCGGGTGCCATCTTGGCACTGGCAGGTGGGGAAAGGACACTCAGGACCGCAACTACAAGGGGAGCATATACTGGGCTAAGAGCAGGGGAAGAGAAGACCTCCTTGAGAGGTCCCTCCAGCTCTGGAGGCAAGGCAGAAGCCAGGAGGAAGGTGCCTTGTCGCCTCCAGGGGCTATGCAAGTGCCACAGGAGGCAGCCCACAGAGGCGGTCATTGATTGTGGCTTGCAGGTGCCACACAGGAGGCCCAGGCTCAGGAGTCCCAAGGCGGCTCCCTATGTGAGGGATTCAGATTACTCCCTTCCTGAGGAGTCTAAGGGATCCCAGGGGTACTTGCCTGGTGACCAGTGCAGGATGCCCCTTATCTGTTTCTGACTTAGGAAGGGAACATGTACTTTCAAGCAGTGGGGAGGGTGGATAGGGTCCTCGGACCAGCCGGGCAACCCCCACTCAAACCGCAAACCCCAGGATAACCGACTGCCACCCAGGCTCCGGGCCATCCCCAGGGACCCCACTGGCCCATCCCTAGCGACCCAACCCCCTAAGCCCCCTCCCACCCCTTACATCCCGGGGGCCTGGTGGCTGAATGGATAAGGCTAGTGGCTCTGAGGTGAGTGCCTCTATCCCATGGGGTTGGAGAAAGTCTGCTGGGGTCTCAGTGGAGGTGTGTGGTACTGGTGGGGGGTTGGGAGAGGTAATGGCATTAGGGTGTCCCCTGGGATCTCCGATGGTCATGGAATTTGGGTGGGTTACCCTGAGCAGACAGGAAGGAAATGGGCACCCCAGGGTCAGGGAGCTGGCCTGCAGGCTGTCTCTCCCACCTGCCAACACCCTGGAATGCCCACCAGGGGTCAAGGATATTAGAGCGGCAAAGAGGTGTGGCCGGTGGTGTACCAAAGCAGAAAAGTGGGCAGCAATGATGGGGAGAGTGGTTATCCTGTGACCCTGGGCCTGCAAAGTGGAAAGGCAGGCAGGAAATGTCCAACGAAACTCGGCCATCCCCGCCACCAGGGCTCCATTTGTGGCATACAGCATGAGTCTGGATGGGCTTCCTTGGGGGCCCACTGCAGTGGGTGGTGGGCACTGTTTCCTTCCACCTAGGCGCCCCCTTTCAGGAGCTCAAGTGGATGTCCCATGCACCAAGTCCCTCCATTCTACAGGGACAGGCATGGTCATCTTGGACAGCGCCCCCCTTGTGTCATAGCAAGTTGTTGGCCACCCAGATGACTTTCCCCCTGGCTGCCAAGATCTATTGGGGGGGGTGGGTAGGGAGTGATTCCTAGGAGGGAGCAGAATGGCGCATTGGCCCTGTGGATGGTCCCACAACCAGAGGTTGGTGCAAATCTGGAGCGCTGAGGGTCCTCTCAGGACACTCTGAAAAGCCACAGGTTGGGATGTGTTTTTACTCTTGTTTTCTCCTTGATGGGGCAGCCATAGCTGCACATGGAGAAATTGGGCTGTTGATGGTAGTCGTAAGACATCGCAGAGTCGGATTCTGCTTCCACTGTCCACCGCAGGGATCAGGGTGTCCAACCAAGAGGCCTTTAGGTGTCCATCAGGGCAAACCTGGTGGGAGTTGGGGATGAACCCCCACTGAGACCAGGCCCTGTGGCAAGGAAAATTGTGTGTGTCTGTGTGTGTATGTGTGTGTGTTGTCAGGTATGAGGATTGGGTGAGGGACTACTTGAGCAAATGGGTCGGGGTGCACAGTTTCAGCCCACACTTGGCTACTCTGGTTGTTGGTCTATCCTTGAGCCAAGGGTGGAAGCATTCCCCAAGTGTGCCCTGTGAGTGTCCCAGTCACAATTCTTCCCTACAGCCTCCCACCACAGGGCAGGCGTTGCCCTGGGCAGAAACAGAGTGCCCTCAGCCCAGCCTTTCCTGGAGGACTCTCCCAAGCAGTGCATGCCAGGCCAGAAGGTGTGGCCACTGCAGCGGGTCAGGGCTACTGGCTATGGTGTG